TCAGATATAAAATATCATTTTTAGAGTTTCATTGGGAATGACGTGAGGTCGGTACTTAATAAAATATACTATAACGCATAGAATTTGATCACGTTACCGACTTCATGTCATATCCCAATGAAACTCTCAAAATGATATCTTATTTATTAAATAAACAAGTAAAAAATGGTTACAAACAAACAAGTTGTTAAGTCAAGAATATCAGAATATAGTCCGGTGAAGTATTATCACTTAGTAAAGTTCTATAGTCATTACAATGATCTTGTCAGCAAATACAATTTATCACATAGTCAAACGGCGACTGATATTAAGGTCGTTCGATATAATTGTTATCCCTTATACAGTTTTGCAACTTCAGCAGATTATTTGACGATTGTTTTGGTATACAGAAATAATGAAAAAAATTAAAATCCATTGAGTGTGAGGGATAGTTACGCTGAAAAAAGGTATAATTATGTAAGGGCATACCGCATTATAACAGGTAACAGTCCTTGTCGGGAAATATCGCACTTTGTTCGAATTGCCAGCAAATCGCAACTGTTCATACTTGCGGAAAAGAAAAAAAAAGTTTTATTTTTGATTCAGTATGTTCAATGAATAGTGTGTTGATTCTTGGCTCGTTTAACACAAATCGTCTAGGTCTTTGTCTTTCCTTCTTTTTTTTTTTACAGAGTTTTTAAGAAAAAGGGGGGAGGTATTGGATGGTATGAATCCCTAACTACAGTTAACTATAGTCAATCACAAAAAGTTTTTGTATTGATCACTAGAGTTAATTTTTTATAGTAAACATTAAAGTTAATCAGAATGTTATAACTTTAGTATTTTTGTAAATAAAAATTTTCATAGTGTCAGTTATACTATTGTTACCTCTAGTAAGCTATAAACATATTTAGTCGACAAAAGTATTTTTGTGAGAGATACTGTTAGGTTAATTAACTGGACTGTAAGTCATTTCGGTGTCTGTATACATACCTCTATCACTCTTATTAAAGAAGATCGTACATTTTGACGTCGCTTTGCAACGAAAATATGCATGCACCTTTGTTTGCCGAACAGCTGCATTCAATTACCAAAAAAAACTGATCAATAAGAGTGAAAATGTCGAAAAGATATCATTGAGTGTGGTATTTACAACCTTTTCCCTCCAAAATTTTATCTAAATAAAGCATGGAAATAAAATTAACTGTAAGTCTATTTTGAAACAGTTAAGACACTTTGAAATTCAGAAAAATGTTTCCAATCGCTTCGCATTAATATTATATGACCTTTCTGCTCTCACAAAATGTTATTTTTCCGGTATTTAGATTTTAATAAGCAAAAAAAAAAAAAAAATATTTTAAAGTCGTAAACTTTTGCTGAATTTAAGCAGGTCAATGCTATCTTAAATAATCAGAAAGGAACATCAAACGTTTTGACACATGATGTAAATTTTTAGATATTATTAAAAAAATATCATTTTTTGGTTAAAATTGGCTCATTTTTCCCTGGACTTTCAGAATTTATTACCATAAATGTATTTGTCATAAATCGATGAAAGAATTCATAAGAAATAATAAATATTTCAGATCCAGCATAGCACATTTCACTGCCAAAAACAGCTTTATGTACAATTGCCAGTGCAAATTCATTTTGAATCTGTGTAACTTCTCGTTCATTAGCATTTTCGTGTACGGTCATGGACCCAACTCACAGTTTTTGTACTATCGCTGAATTTAAAGAAATCGCCTTCACTCTCATTCTCATAAACAACAAGATACTTAGGTATGTTGCGCTTTGCTACTAATGTGACTTTAATTATAGAAAATGCTTTTAATTAATTATGTAATTATTGATCATGAAATCCATAATATATTGATAACCAACTTATTATCTGTATCAAAAATTCACAGCAGAATGAAACCGAATTATGAATATGATTAATATGATACTCGTGATTACATAGTATATGGCGTGATTGATTACATAATATATCAAATATTCTTGTGGTTTGAAACCAAAAAGACGTAAAACACATTAAACACCAAGAAAAGATACAGACAGAATTAAACATCCTAAGAAAAGAAAAGGTGGCTAGGTGGAGGCAGCCTAAAATAATTTGAAGGTATCCAACAAACATGTACTGTCAACGGCGTCCTAAAAGAAACTTAAAAGTGACGCTATCTGAATGACCGGGACCAGATTTTTCACCGCGCACGATTTTCATTGGGCGTTTACTAAATGAATCGCTTGCATCTGCTTCTCCTAATTGGATACGCCAAAAACCTTCCAAGGATAATGCAAGCGCCATAACTCTTACACGCAGAACATTCCAATCTACATGAAATATTTTATGTAGAACTTAAAATTTATTTATGTACAATTGCCAATGCAAATTCATTTTGACATAATAATTAATCTGTGTAACTTCTCGTTCATGAACATTTTCGTGCACTGTCGTGAACCCATCTCACAGTTATTGTACTACCGCAGAATTTAAAGAAACCGCCTTTACTCTCCATTCTCATAAACAACAAGACACTTAGGTATGTTGCACTTTGCCACTGATGTGACTTTAATTATAGAAAATACTTGTAATTAATTATGTTATAATTGATCATGAAATCCATAAAATTATTATTAATCAACTTATCATCAGTATCAAAAATTCACAGCAGAATGAAACCGAATTATGAATATGATTAATATATAAATCGTGATTACATAATATATTGATTGATTACATAATATAAAAAAAAAAAATTCTTGTGGTCTGAAACCGTCATGTACTTGTTTAAATTTATACTTTAAATTAAATTAATCAAGTTCAGACCCCAAGAAGAAAGGAGCAAAACAAAGGGGCAAAGTGCAGTTATACCTGTCAAATTAAAAAAAAGGAATTGTACAATTAAGTCAGCAACGATAAACATATGCCCTGCTTGTCCTTTTGAATGTCTGTATACACATGTAATAGTTCTACAAATATGAACAGATAGGAATAAACATATGTCCCACGATGAACAAAATGAAAACAAGAGTCATAAATATACAACTAGATGAAACTCCAATTTAAATGGTAATCTAAAATTAATAATACTTTTTATTATAGTTCAAAATGAAAAAAAAAAGATTATTTCTTAAAAAAAAAAAAGATTCAGCCAAGAAATATTGATCCTGGCATAATCTTATTTAAATGGAATTTAAACGCAATTTTTTTTACATTGAATATAGTTCAATTTGAATTGTAGAATCCAGATTTAATATTAGAACTTAAAAATGATACAGAATTTTGAAATGAAGAACCAGACCAAAATATGCTCAAAAGCTCAGGATTGAACCTCCTTAAATTGATAAACGGAACGATAGGCATTTTATGTCGAAGATTGATTTTTTTTCCTAATTTGCAAATTCTCTGAAATGCTGTTATTTTATTGATAATAATATGTTTTATGATTGTATATGTAATTTTCATAAAAAAATATGTAGAGAGTTATATAATATCAATAAATTTTATGTGTTTCATTTGTGTCATCAATATATGACATATTTACAACATTGCAATGTTTGGTGTGAGAAATTAATTGTACGATTTGAATCATTTTTGTTTTGTTAGTAGGTAAAAGATTAAGGATTACCATCCCTAATGGGATCTAATTTCCTACCCTTAAATGTCCATCAAGTACATTAAAAACTGATATTATATTAAAGCATTTTTAGTGGGAAAGGATTGCCCGCGAGAAGTTTTAAAAATGTCATAAATTAAGCAGTAGTTAATTAACAAAGATTGCATTGAAGTCAATGGGGTAAAGCGTTTTTTTTTCAAAATAAAAATTCAAATAATTTGAATATCAATACATCCTGCGGTAGACAGATGCATTCAAACATTTAAAAGAGAATGACAATTGAAAACAATTTTTTTACCGGCTTAATTTTTTTAATATTTTTTTTTTATAAATTAATAAAAGGGGAGGTAACTTTTACCAAAACTCAAGGTCATAAATTTGGACACATCCCACTATACATACTGATAGTAATAAATGGCAAATATGTCTAAATAAAATGATTTTTCAATGCCTACATATCAGTTACCTGTTCAATTTCACTTAATTTGGGATTTAATACCTTAATAATCGCTTTATGTTTCGGGTGTTTAAAAACTGTATTTTTTTTTGCCCCACCTACGTTTCTAAGCTTAACAAAATATTAGTATTTGATAATTTTATCAAATATTTTTTTTTATGATTGTTAATGCTTGTCATTTTGTTTAATTATTTTTTTGATTGATTTTTCTTGTCAATAATAAGATGAAAATAAATGACACTTTTCATTTCAAACTCTTTTCATCACCGACCTAAACGTAAAATAATTTTTTTTTTTGATATTAAAAGCAATATGTACTTTACTATTCCATGACCATGATACGAATATTTGTATATGTATATTTGATTACTGACAAGAATGATAAAAATCAGTAAAAGATGTAACAATACTGTACGATACGTCTTTTTCTTTAGTATATCCTCGGCTTGTTTTCGCAGTTATTTTAATTTCTAATAACAATTTTCTTCTGATCAAAATCTCAGAAAGAAAAAGTTCGCTGTTAAACGTAATACTTCCATACCATAAAGGATCTCTGTGGCTTTGGAAAAAATGAGCATTTAGATTCACGACAGTACAGAAATTGTACCACCATCCAGATTTATTCATATCAGCACACTTTTCCTTGGTGTCATGGTCGAATGTGTAAAAGGGATTGTTAATGATCGGATACGATCTAGATGCATCATCTAAAAAACAAAAGCATCCAATAATGAAACCTTTCAATTTTCAATTGAAGAAAAAGTTTAATTTCAATTTTGATAATTTATAATACAAAAAACATAAAACCATCAGAATAAGAGGACATAAAATTATTTTAAACGGGATTTAATATATTCTTTACATTACTTTCTTTTTTATTATAAAAAAGAAACAAATGATAAAACATACGAAAATTTGTAATATACCAATGGTTCCTGTTTTCTCCCTAAGGAAAGTCTGTAGCCGTCATTTTCATCGGGGATGTAAAAATCAGAATATTGAACTTCAAATGAAACATTTTGTGTATGTCTCAATCTGATATACAGTGATTTGTTGTATTTTGAGGTCAATTTATGAATGGAGTTGTTTCCTAAATTAGATTAAAATGATCTCAATTAATATTTTCGTTTTTTTCACACAATTGATTTCCTAATAAATTAATTTTGCTCTTTTGGCAAAAAGTTATTGCTCATGATATAGCACCATATTTATATTGATGCACGAAAACATATGGTTTTTGATAATCGAATGACCACATATTATAAAAAAATAATTTGAGAAAAAGGGACTATCTATTGTGTACTATCTTCAATGATCTAATATATATATGATGAAATATTAGGTTGGATATTATACATTGAATGAAGATTCTTTATAAATATGTCCAAATATCAGTTCAATTGTTTTTCCTTTCAAACATCATTCATTAATGACCTTACAGCGCTAAACATATTATCTGAATTACCTTTCATAAATCATTTAAAACATACTTCATGGATATGTTGTTGTTCTTTGAATAGTAAATTATCCACAAAATATGCATTTACAGCTACGATGAACGGAAATGTCCGATTTAATAGCTTTCATCTTTGGCATTTAAACATATAAAATGAATTTAATTATAAATGATATTGTACCCTTTTCTTGCGTTTTGAAACACGCATCTTGCTATAAACACCCAAGTTTTTTTTTTCAAATAATTTATGTCAAACTTAATATAATAAAAGAATTGATAAAGAACAATATGGAGATAACGAACAGTATTCAAAATCATAGTTCATAAAACAATATAAAATAGGAGCAGAGCAAAAAGAGACAGAGGTGGGATCAGGTGTCATGGACGAGTAAGCATCCCCTGACGATCGGTCACACCCGCCGTGTGCTCCTTGTCAGGATATAACTGAAAAATCCGTCGTCACTTCGGTGTATAAATAATGGACTAACAATTAATATGAAAAACTTCAGGCAGCATTTGACTCAATGATAAATTGTATTTGCTGACAAGGTCATGTTTTCGAACATAGAACTTACGAAATGATAGCTTTAAACGAGACTATTGATAGTTTGTTTGTCAATAAATTACATCGTTTCAGAAATTGCCTATTCGTAGAGCATGCTCTAGCGTATTAAATCAAGTGACATATGTAGACTCCTTATGGAGGTGCTGAAGGTTTATTGCTGCATAGGTAAGGGAAATTGACAATAGAAAAGTTAAAGTCATCACGTTTACCATAGAGTTTGATTGTTAAGTTACCATTAGTGTCTTTTTCAAGTAAAATATCCAAGTATGAAACAGATGTGTCAGACTCTGTGGTATCTTTTATCTCAAACTAACCTGGATATATCGTATTGACAAAGGAATGGAAATTACAATACGTCGTCGATATATTTAAATATGTTGAGCTGAAGGCCAAAGCAAGTGTTTTCTTCTTTTTATGCATTAGATGGTGCAAAAAATTCTGCTTCATATGAATACAAACATAATTCTGCTTATAACGGAGCGCAGTTGGTACCCATTGGAATCAGGAACTCAAGCATCATTTTATGTTAACTTCAGAGTACTTGTGTGTGTAATCAGAATGTGTTTTAACAAAACAATTTTGCGAATGACCATTGACGAGGTAAGTTAATTTACCATTTTTTTTAAAAAAGCAGCTGTCAATGATATCAAAAAGCCATGTTACAATTAGCTTACCCAACCAATAATTCCCTCCAACATTCCCAAAACCTCGTTTGTATTCATTCCAAGTGGTGTTGAAATTTACCTCTGTGTATCCCCGATTTCTGTGCTGAATGACCTAAAACATTTTTTGTTCTTTTTTTTTTAAATTGTCTCAAAATTTATTTTAACAAAAAACTTACTAATAATAAGAAAAAAAATAGTAAACGTTATATATCAAAAAGTGCAGACTTCATCATATTTTTAATCCTTTTAAGAGCAAAATACTCCACTATAGCTTAATATGTTTTTAGAAAAATACCGTCCAGCCCCCTCCATATGCTTCCATGTTACAAAGAACTTGAATTGGAACAGATTCTTGGCTTATGTTACCCGGGCATATATAATAAAGGCCTGTATTGTTTTGTCCAGTATTGAGGATGTCGAAACAATCAAAAGGAAAGGTACAGCCTATTTTTAAGAATATATACAAAAACTGTCATGTATTATTTGTATATATGTATATAAATAATTCAAAGAATGTAAAGTTCATGAATTTGTTGATATAATACATTTCATTTTTTTTACTTCGAACAAATATTCTAATTGGATATCATTTCCAGTTTCAAAGTATATTTCATATTTATAAAATGATGTAATAAATAAATCGCATGTATCAATTGTGTGGAAATAAAATACCAGAACAGATATGCGTGTTGCAGGATGTTGAGTCTGAAGATTGTCCATTGCAGAGCTGACCTCCCAATCTCGGTGTAGGATTATCACAAGTGCGTGTTCGTGATCTAGTTCCACCCCCGCATGTCACTGAACAACCTCCCCAAGCGTTCCACTCACTTCATCCTCCATTAACAAGACAAGGAATAATACAATTAAAATGAATATGAAAATTGTGGACGAAAAGTAAAGAATTGAAACTTTACACAGATAAAATGTATTCTACATATCATTGTCCCTTTTTTAAATGAATAGAGGAAATAATTATAATTGATAGAAAAACACATTAGTAATATTTCATAAAACAGTTGTATATTTTTTCCAATTAAAATACCTGCTACTTCGATGCATACATAATTGTCTAATTTTATGCGAACACATTTGGATAAGTGATTGCATGAACTTTTTCCACATTTCTTATCCCTGTTATCAACCTGAAACAACAATACATTCAAACTGTGTTCAACAAGATTGAAATAATGAAAAAAAAAAAGAAAATAATAATGATAAAGCTCTGTTATATATTAGCAGGATCTCATAAAAATTTGTTGTTTGTTGTTTTAAAAATTGGCTAGCATGATTTTTATTTAATCGAATGTAATGAAACTTCACACTTCAACAAAATATATGTTTTTATTTACGAAAATGTGTTGATCTATAATCTATAATCTTGTAATAATAATATGACGATGAGCAACATTGTCAACGTGTTTTTTGACTGACCCTCGTACAGAGTTTATTCTATGTTTATCCCTTTGCATATATTTCCTAGTTTATACAGATTGTTTTAAAAGTTATTAAAGAACTTTTCTAAGTATAAAGCAAAATTTTATTGCTACTCGCTGCTCAGTGACGTCATCCAACGTCATGGTTTTTAGACTTTTTTTAAATTAGGTTCATATATATTTAGAAAGTGATATCTTTTAACCGAAACGATATATATTACATTACCTGTTAGCATCTAAAGTAATTTAGCAAAACTAAATAACAACATGTAAATTTTATTTTATTTCAGCTCCATTTATTCGAATTCTGGCTAAAGAAAATAAAAGTCAATCATTCAATTTTGACGTTGTTCCGTGGCCCATTTTTTTTGTGCTGAATCCTTGATAATTTAGATACAAGTGAAGGTATATTCCTATTTTTTAACTCAAATTATTCAAATTTGCTTGTAAAATATGTGTACCAAATTTGGATCTGATACAACGTTAAATAAAAAAGTCAGGACAAAAGTCTACGAATTTTTGAATGACCCTCGTAAAAGGTCATTCAGTTGAGGATACAAATTGAGGATACAAATATTATTGCAATATGTACTCTTTTTAGAATTGACTTGATGTAGATAATACACTTTGTTGAATTCATATGTAGAACGCTGTGCTTAAAACAATTTAAATGCTTTATTTGACATTATTACGTAAACACTCTAACCTACTATTTACATGTTAAATACAATTCGTCAATTGTTTCGTTTAAGATATTAATTGTCTTTAAAACTTGTGGTTCTCATACAGCTTTTTCATATGAAACATTTTTTTTTCATGCTGGATATCTTAAATACGTCTTAATTAAAATGCCTTAACATAAATAGTTTAAATTCAAAATTCTCTTTAAATTAGTGACGAATGCTTAGTCATAATAATATACACGTATGATAGTCAAATCCCAATAGTCCGTATAGTTTCATTAAGCTATCATCATATCTTTCTAAAAATGCCTGAATGCATTTAGAAATAAAATAATTTTTTTCAGAATTTGTTAAATCCATTCTTGCTTTTCATCTATGCGTCGATGAACCAAAATAAAAAAGGAATCGTGATAGCTTATCTAGATGGTTAACAAAAATGAGATCATATCCCATAAATTAAAGCTGAATATAAACTTTTCAAATGTTAATTGTTTGAAACCATAATAGGTAAGTAAGTTTGAAATTTCACGCAAAGGATGACTGCACTTGGCGCTGTGTTCACAAAGATATCTGAGGAAAGATATCATATGGTGAATTATAATATCAACATGTCATAGACTTTGGAAACAACAGACAGAGAAAGTGTAAGAAGAAGCAGTTTTTCCGTTACTGACAGAGCATTAAAAAAACAAATATACAACTGCTGCTAAAAGGAGAACAATAGATAAACATGTGCTGACTATGTATAAAATAAATAAAAAAGTTGGCGTCCTAATTATCGTACGGACATTAAAGAAATAGGTGAGACTCCCGCCTTAGAAAATAGATTTGCGTAAATACATACTTTTTTTTTTTTTTACAATTACATGAAGTTTCTAGATTTGATGTTGATCAGTCCTCCAGTTAAAAGAAAAATGTTTGTTTTTAAAATTTATTTTGTCGCAAAGTTTGCATGTCCTTATATGCAGTAATCCTTTATTTATTTATAAATGTCTTAAAGACAGTGTGATTTTAGAGAAATAATCATGCTCCGAACAGCAAATTATGCTGAAAAAGGGAGCATAGCCTAGGTACATGTACTTATGAATATACATAATTACTTACAATATCTGGTATTTCCCTGTATATATAGTCACAATCATTTACTAAAGATAAATTTGCACTTTTTTTCTGGCTATTCAATTCACACATTAACATCTTTTGGTTGAAGTTAATTAACAAACACATGGCATGGGCCTCGCATTCTCTAAAACACAATTGTAACCCGATTTCCGTACGCACTGCAAGAGGAGAAACTGGAAATTTTTTCCCGATCTCTTTTTCATTGTTGGGTCTAGTACATATTTAAATTGCCAAAAGGCATTGAAATAAAAGAAATATCGCAAAAATTCTCTCCAATTTAGATTCAACAGTCATGAATTAATCATGTAGATCTGACAAATTGTTTTTTAAAACTTTAGTGATTGTTGATTGAATTGATATAAATATTAACTTCTTGCCTTTATTTATAAATCTCAAGTTACAACTTTCCCACGAATGGTTAAGAAAACCAGTGGAATATAAAGGTAACAAACAATTGTTAATATCAAATATTTATCGAACAATCTTTAAAGCAAATGAAAAAGAACAGTTGACCTCTCAAATACAAATAAGTATATTGTTATTTAAAATTGAAATATGCATTCCTGACAGCAATTTAAACAAAAATCAATAGGAGAAATCTGAAAATCGTGACATTGCAACTTATAATAAGTAAAACTAATTTTTGTACGTAAATAAGTGTATAAAGTAAATAATTAAAATGTAATCTGGCTTAGAATTTTGCCTTACCTAAAATCATATGTGACAAATAGTAAGCACATGTATTTTCATGGTGTTGTCATGTAAATTTGAGAATCTTTGTTTTCAAACTTTTAAAGTAAAATTAACATGTACATTCAACATGTTAATGCAAATCACTTTCAAGTTTCTCAAGTAAGCTGATTAATTTGAATTTTATTTTTCATAACTTCTCATTGTATGTTTATACAAAATTTGAATTTAACAAATCCTGTTTTAGCACAAAGATTAATTTACCAATTGATCAAACTGTTGTTTCAAAATACTGTAAAATTTATGAATTCGTTTGATATAAAAAAATTGCTCACCCAAACAGACTTTGCCAAGATAAAACACAACCTTTTCATTTATAAAAATAGTTTAAAGCATTTTTCAACTTGTTATATTACTTATATATTACTGAAACTAACATAAGATATTTTTGTTTCCTGGAACATCACCTTTTAAATTTTTTTTATTTTCTTATCGAAAGTCAAAAAAATCCTTTTATTTTTATGTTTTGAATTTTAGTGTCTTTATTAATAGACATCCTTGTAACACTTAACAATTTAAATTTCTTAATAATTTCTAAAATGATTTTGGGTTTTACAATATAAATATATTAATTCAATTTTCTAACTTTCAAAAACTCATATTGATTTGATATATTGAAATTTAATATTTTAGTTCAAAAATCAAGCAGGTTTTAGAATATTAATATCTTTTATTTTACCTTAAATGTTCAAAATTCAAATTTTCAAAATCAAATTTTGTATTTTAAACTTTTGAGTTTTTAATATACCGTTTTTTCAGGAAGTTTACGCTTAACAATGTTAAATTTTACAACATTTTTCCTCGTTTGCTTATTTTAAATTTACTTCAAAGTTCCAACTTTTAAACGTTTTATGACTTTAGAAATTTAGAATTTTGATTCTAGAAAACACTCAACTTTTAAATAATTAAAACACTTTTTACATTTTCAGTGTTTAGAAGTTTACTTCAAATATCCAGCATATCAAATTCCAAATCTGGTTTGAATTTTGAAACTATTTCATAAACTTTGTTGGTTATAACATTAAAGCTTTAAGAAAGTTAAAATATTGAATTAATATTCGAATTCAAAGCGGGATTGGAAATTTGATATTTTGGATATTTAAAGTAAAAATCTAAAACTCGATGTGTTTCATTTCAAAATTGAATGTTTGAATCAAAATATTAGATTAGAAAAAAAAGTTTTGAAAGTTGAAATTTACATGTTTAAAGTAAATTTGAAATAATTAATAGACTCAAAATGTTATTGAACTTTAAATTATTAAGCACAAACTTTCTGAACAAACGGAAGAATAAAAAGTCAAACATTTGAAATACAAAAATCGTTATGGGAAATTTGAATTTTGAACATTTAAGGTAGGATTCGTCTCACATTTTTTTTGTATTTGAAAATTAATGAAATTTTCACAGAATCAAGAGGACAATATTACTAAGTGATGGTATCAGTGAGATTTAATATGACCATTTAATATTAGAGGCAAGGTCATGTCAAAGTCATTACCTTTTTTTCTGGACATTAAGAATAAAAAAAATACTGTTTCCAATCATGCGATTCCTACTTTTAGTTCAAAATATTGAATGTTTTTTTTTTTTTGCATAAAAAGATACTGCTATATAGCGCCTATAAGATTATATAACCAGATTGACATGGATAGTTTAAATAAAATGGATATTTGCTTATCCAAATTTCCTCTACTTTTCTAAAATTTCGAGGATTTATTTATCATTTTTATTTGCTTCCTATATTTAACTTTTTCCAATTTTCACATATAGTAAAGCTGTCACATAAAGGTACAAAATGATATTAGTACTAGAAGTTTTTATCGTTTACTAAGTAAAGGAGAAAG